GTTGTCGTAATTCCAGAGATATATATAGCAGTCGATGGCGACCCACGCCCTCCCGATCTCCGGCATGATTCCCATCTCACAGTTCTGTTGTATGTCTTGTGGTCAACAATAAACACATTAACCATTCATTTCAATCACTGTAATGACAAACACTTACGAGAGAACTGTTCGAGTAATCCCTTCGGCAGAGGAATGGTCTGCAAAGGAGTGAATTGTGGTAATGATAACGACTGACCACTGCTTCCCATTTCGTTCAGATTGGGATAATCGTTGTCTTGAAGGCCAGAAACAGATGGATATCCTGAAAAACGGATTAATTAATACAAATGAGTAACGAATCAAATGAATGGCAAACAACTGATGCATACGTTGAGTGACTTTCAGTGTGTCCAACATCTGCGGGAACATTGAGTCCGAGTTGAGGAACTGATCCACACTATTGGCCACACCTTCGTAGACATTGGCGGCAGACATGTCGGTGCGGGGGCTCATCATCGATGCCATGGGCTGTCCGGTCAGTGGGTCCACAGCCGGTACTACTATAGTCATGGTCTACAAGAGTGTCAATCAATGGATTCAATTGTTCGCACTTTCGGTGACAAGTGTTACGTTTGGATGCCTTTGCGCTTAGACTTCAATCACATGGCAATGAATGCTTGAAATGATCACTAAATGTGTGTCGATATGTATGTATGACTGAGTGAGCAGTGAATCACACCTCCAGTCGACTATTAAAATGACATCAAATTGACATCAAATTCAATTCAATTACCGATCAAATGCTATGAAAAGCGCCAAAACATGGCATTGAATGGACCGGCAGTTCAATGAATGCTTGCATCCAATGGACAGCATATTTGTAGCAATAATTACGTCAATACTGTATATATTTTCCATACATTATCATTATGATAAGCTTATTTGAATCATTTTAATTAAAACTTTTAATTTAACGTCAATTCATTTAATGAGTAAAATATTTTTGTGTAAGGACATATATTTGTATTCAAACCTAATATGTGTCCCTCACTAACACATATCTCATTATTAATACATTCACTGTATATTCCTACCAAAATTTGTCTCAAATTCACCAAGGTACTTTTCAATATTTATTATATGGCACTGTAATTGTTAATAAATATTAATCTGATAATGGATTAAAAGTGATAGTAATTTACAATATGTTGTTTAAAAATTGTAAATTCTAAGAGTAATTGTGAACCAAAACATTTAAATCGATTGATTCTGTCCATTAGTATTAGAGTTGGATTTAATTCATTTGAATCATTGTTGTAAACTTTATACCGGTATTAAATTTAATATTGTGGTTATTTCTTTCATTTTTATATTACTGTAATTATAATTTTTTCAAATACAGTTTATTTAATACATAAATTATTGCAAATCTTTATTATTCTTGCATTTTAAATTTTATATCATTAACATTGGGTAATAAATTTCAAAAATTGAATCACCAAAATAAATCTCATTCTTATAATAAACTTCAATTTTCAAACTTAATCTCACTATTACTGGTATATATTACTTACATTGATGACATTTGAAAATTATATATACTGTACTCATACAATATTCTTACAGAACCAATTCACAAGTACAGAATCGAGAATATTCTGTGAACATTTTAAGACCAAGACCATTTTAAGTGCTCAAGTTAACAATTTAAAACTTGCTACTGAATAAAAAGTGATTCGTGAAACATTAAGGATTGTTTAATAGCTTCGTATTTATTATTTATTAACTAAGTTATCAAAATATCTCAAATTCAAAAGTTCCTGAAAAGGTTCATATTATTGTTTAATTCAATTTTAATTCTATAATTGAATAAAGTTTAAAATATAGTCATAATTATCTAATGAATGGACAGAAAACAAATGATAAGTATTATCTTATCATAAAAATAATTCAATTATAGCTTCAAATAGTGGAGAATATTATTTAATAGACATTAAAAGTTGATAATAGTATGAGTTAGACCTATTAGGTTATACAGTAATTTTATTAAACTGATTGTGAGGCATTTAATTTGTAAGAAATAGTTTGGCAATAATATTGTATTTGATAGCATAGGTCAGATCCACACTGATATCATTCAACTCGATGACCACAAACAAAAAATATACCATGCTCAAACATTACAATTTAAACACTCAAGTGTCTGGAACTATTTGAAATATGATACATGTATGTGTTTATAATTGTGTGTAATAGCTGTGTGCTCAGGGTCATTGTTTGTAAGAAGAGTAATCAAATTGAGTGGTATGTGATGTTAGGGTAGGTTTGGGGCGTTTAGTGACCTTAGCCTTAGACCCATACAGTGGTAGTAGTGGTGATACACTCATACTCTGTCTACTCCTAAGCCATGACTAGTACTCAATAATACTCGCATTGAGACAACTTTTGCTTTCATTTCAAATTCATGTCAATTGCTTGTATTTGAAGTATACTTTCATTAATAATAACAACAATTAATGAAAAGTCTTGACAGCAATGAAGATATGATGGGGAATGTTCACATACAATAGTGCTGCAGGTATTGATGGCAATAGTATGTGAAGGCGTTTCCCATTCACTATATCATAGAAAGCAATGCAATGAATACAATAACGTATTGAATAGTGTTGTCTAACAGTAAGTCCCAACCACTGAGTGTTTGTCAGCATTTGTGGCACTAATTCACTGAATGAGTGAATGACTCGACATTTGATTCAATATTAGGTCAGCTGTTATGCCATTGCTATTCACCTGACATTACCTACTCATACCTCACTGTCCTGAACTGTACACCTCAACCATGATTTCATGTCATTCACAGACACACCACCAGATCCAGTGACAGAGTGACAGTTCAGTCATACAGTCCAGTGTTACTCAACCAATGCTAGCATTCATTGCAATCATTTGCATCTAATTTGACACTAAAATGACGATTGATTTCAGGGACTACTTCTGGGTATGTGTTCACCACTCTCTGTACAATCATCACTCAATTGATTCAATTGTCTTATTGTCTCATTTGTTACCATTTCATACCAATTGTCATGAATATGACATTTGTTTACAACTCAATTGAGTGTCTATTTTTAATATCTCTGCTGTTTGTCCATTATTTCATGTGATTTGAGTCCATTGAGTGATGATATTGTCGTTGTTTAGACATAAATAGTAGATATGATAGTAAATGTAGCATGGTGATTATAAATGTGTATGTATGCCCAATATGTGACCATATGTGCCAATATGACCGATATGACCGATATGACCGATATGACCGATATGACCGATATGACCGATATGACCAATATGACCATGGTGATGATGGTGGGATGATGATGATGATGATGGTGATGGTGATGGTAGGGCTCGAAGCACGCAGGGTTTGACGTGTTATACCAGAACATGAAGGCCAACCATTTGGCGACCAAAGAGTTGACTGAATTCATCCGCGAGAGGTATACTCGGGTGTTGTCTCGCATACAGTGCTCTCATTCATGCCATTGATTACCACTTTTAGATCACTCATCGAAGAGACTAATTGCAAGCTTTTGGTGAAACTGTCAAAACAGGCCAATAATACCACTTCCATTCATGGGTTAAATGAATTCATTGTTTGTCTCATATGTTAGACATTAATATATTAAATGTTGGCTTATATTTCAGCACATTTTTACCGCTTTGGAAAATATTGAAGTCTTCGGCTGAGAAGTTGTCATCACTTCACATGCAAATGGTTTATGGTTTGCAGGAATTGATGAAAGAGATAATGAAATACAGCGACGAACAGCATAAGAAGCAAAAGCAGACAAAAACTGAAGAGTTAGTGACCGTTGAAGTGGTGACGGAACTGAAGGAAACGATCATCAGTTTAAATAAGGTATTGATTTTTAAACGAATGTCTCGATTGGTTATAATTACAACATTTGATTACAACTTAAGGCCAAAGAGTTTTATAACACAAAAGTGATTGAATTGGAAAAAGTGAAGCGAGAGAACGGATCCCAAAAGGACATCGAGAAGGCAGAGATACGGCTCAACAAAGCCTGTATGCCATTCACTATCATTGAGATGATTATCATTCAATTACTGTATAATGAATTTCCTCTAAACAGGCACTGATTACAAGCAATTGATTGAGAAGTATGCAAACGTTAAGGAGGACTACGAAAACAAATTTGGTGTCTCGTGTTTGGTATGAGTTAATGGTTTATGAATTGAATGTTTATTCATATGTTTTGTTAATTGACAGCATTTCCAACAAATAGAAGAGCAACACATCAGACAAATGAAGGATTTTTTGATGAATTATTATCAAGTGTTAGAAAGCGGTCACACACTCATAGGTCAAGTGCACCTCGAGTTCAAGCAATGTTGTAATGATTTAACTGTCAATAAATTACTCGAACAATTCGTCACCACTAAGGGCACCGGTAGTGAGAGGCCAGGTATGGTATTGTTATGGAGTTGCTGTTATACAAAGTGTTAAACTTGTATGCATTGCATGTATGCAGAGGTGTACCACTTCGAAGAAACGGACATTTCAGCGATAAGTGCGACCAAAAGCAGTGATCTATTGGATCTGACAAATGGGGATAAAGTGCCCAAAAAAGAAGGTAAACATAATTATAGTCGTCATATGAAAAGCAAACCCTATTCCCGACGCACGGCATCACTTCTGGATATATTTCGCTCGTCAACCGCCACCGCTGGCAGTGGTATGTGTGCGCCATTGGATGCGACTGCTCCGAGTCAACTCATATCTAACTAATTTTTATTCATTAGGCAATTCTAATGATGTTATTAATAGTAATAAATTATGGGAAACATATGATGCCAACTGTCCCCCCAATACCCTAATCCGAGATCATCACAAATCTTCCCCAAACATCAAATCAGAATTTGTTTCGCGAAACAGTTTTAGAGCCTCGAAATGTAATCATATCTTTAATTGTCTCAAAAAACACTTCTCTTCTGTCCTCACAAATGATCACAATTTAGGATTCGCTTCTCAATTGAACTTCTATTTGAATAATGGATGACATGTTTGATTAAAATTAGATTTAATGTCTGAAACGAATTCTAAATTAAAATAAGCAATTAGTTGGAAAACGGTTTGCTTTTCACTATATATTTGACTCACTTTTTGAATTTTATGTCAATATGTTTTTAATTATTTTATTATACAATTGCATGATATCTATCGTAAGTTTTATTTAATATGATTATCGATTGATTTTATGAAATTATTTTTAGTTTCTTTGCATGTATTGTGGTTTTCATGGCCTTCCAATTCAGACGCTATCAGTAATAGTGTTGTTTGTTTTGTCACATTAGCGACCATTAGTTTAACCCTTTCTTCATATTGTCATTTCAATCGAAACTAATCCACAATTATTGTATATTTTCACTGAAAGGGTTTCTGAGGAGTAAAAGACAAAAAGCTATGGAAAAGAAGAAGAAAAAGAAGTCGGAGATGAGTGGTTCCAAAGAAGACAACTGCAGTGTCGAGACTAAGGATAGTAACAGTAGTGATGTGATGAGTGCAGTGAGTGCTCCCAATTGTGAGACACCGGTTGTCGACGACGAGGGATATATAATTCGTCCCAATTTTGGCAATGAAACCAATTCTGACAATCATTTCTATTCGAGTTCTGACTCCGATTCCGAAGAGGAAAAGGAGCAGAAGATTCGCATCAAAATAAATCCCTTAACAAACGGAGCGCCTATTAGTGCCAGTGTTGATGAACTGATCGCCAGTGCCGGCACTCTATCTCTTTCGCCCATAACTCAACACACGGTAAGTGTTGTGACATTTATTTAATTGTTTTGCTCAGCAAATGAATACTCAATTCTTGAAAATGCAATCAAATAATTAAAATGCTTTGCGATCTTCTGATCTATTTATTAATGCAATGCCAGAGGAGAAGACCAGAGGCTCTAACCTTAAGACTTAAGGTAGTGGTCATCCATTCTCTCTTGTCTTGTATTCCCATATATTCCCATATATTCTGTCAAATACTTCACAATTATTTGTTTCGGTATTTAATTGATTGTATAAATGCATGAACAGAACCGTCGAGTGTATACTTCGAGTACATCCCCGGCCCCAGACGATAGCCAAATGAAACGATCCATTTCTGCAAACCATAACATATCTAAAGCTGAAAACGATTTGATAAGTGTTTTTAGTTCTTCGCTGTCGAGTGCCTCCACTCCTTCGGGAATCGCCGAACAAAAGCCAAACAATTCAACGAATTCTAACTCTAATACAAATTCAGTGAACAGTTACTCATTTAAAGCTCCGGCGACAGCACCGGCCGATAGATACGCAGCTCTGAGTGATCTCTTCACTGAGTCCATCAATGAGGCGACCACTGTATTGTCGAAAAGTATGTCGGCGTCTATATTAGGGCCTCCAGTGTTAGCATCTCTTCCACGGCCGGCATCTAAACGCAATGCACACACATCTCCACAGCTGTCCCACCAAAGCAGTCACGCGAGCACTATCTCCCGGTGCGAGAGTGTCAGCAGCTTATCGAGCGATTTCCGAATGACACCCATTTCTGTGGGCTCTTCACGAGGACCCTCTCCTCTTACACTTGGAATCTCAGACGCCGTTCCCATTGCTATTGCACTCCAAGAGTCAATCAGCGCCTGCTTTAAGGGCATTGACGAAAGCAAATGTCAGGTTCAGGTGGTCGGCAGTTTGAAAATGGCGTTCCCGGCGGGCATTGTCCAGGTCTGCGCTGTTACGGACTTAGTTGTATTGATTGTGTTAATTAATTGTTATATTATACGACATAACAGGCCTTTGCCAACAATCCATACGCCTCTCCACTCACTTTCAAACTCAATAAGTCTTCAAAATTGGAAAGTATTTATCCGAACAAAGAACTACTAATTGAGTGAGAATTGCATTCATTTCTAACGATAATCACACCATTTTAACACTACTTTTATATTATAGAAATTCAGAGTCTTTGAGATCAATAACTAGTGATTCTTCGAGTTTTGAGGTGAATATGTGTGCACTCATGTCACACATCCGGCGCCTCTACGAACAGTCACCCAATTCTCGGTATTATAATATCGATGTTTTGAAATATCAAATCCGTTGTCTTCAGGGGGCAAAGAGTACGCCCTTACAGTTGGTCTCCTATTGGAAGTGTGAGCCCCAGACGACCAGTTTGAAAGTGGACTACAAATACAACGGCTCGTCCTTAGCTCAGACGGAAGCGCTGAGAAATGTGTCCATTTATGTGAACGTTGACGGCGAACCACGTTCTATGCAATCACGACCCGACGGCAAATGGTAACCATTTTCAACAATTTGACACTCAATCCAATCATTAACCCATTCATACAATTGTAGGAACGCCGCCACAAAACAGGCCGTCTGGCGCTTTGACCGACTTTCCAATACATCTGCCCCTCAAGCGGGAGGTCTGGCCGGTCTGGGCTCTATTAAAGCCAAATTTGAATTGTCTTCAGGACCGTCCACTCCCAGTGTAATTCAGGCGCAGTTCACGTGTTTAGACACAACTGTGTCGGGCATTGAGTTCGAGTTAACGGCAGTCGGATATCGCGTATCTCTAGTCAAGAAACAAATTTGTTCCGGTATTTAGACCACAACTACTCGTTTGACTTATGATACTCTTGTCTATAATATGTGTGCTTTAAATGATAGGTCAATATATATGTGAGCCATGACTGGAAGTCCATCAAAATGGAGCCCTTCCTTCTGATCATTAATGATAAAGTGATAAAAAATCTGATAAATTGTTATTTCTTCCCAATCGTGCCTCTCATTCGTCGCTTCAATCAATTAATTGTATTATATTTATATTGATTTTATTTTGAATCCAAAAAACCGGTAAATTTTTATTTTAAAATTATATTTAATAAAAGTTTTATTTAATATAATTTATAATTAAATTATTTAATAAATCATTTTTAAAAATATATTTCATTTTATTTGACTCAATGTTTGAATTTCGTTTATAAAAATAGTAGTAAAATAACGGGTTATATAAGCTCTGAAATGTTAAAAATTCAACAAAAAACCGACTAATTTCCACCGGTATAAATATTAGACAATTGAGATAATTTTGTACCAAATTTTTTGAACAATGAATTGATTGAGAAATTTATACAGTTTTGCCACAAATTAGCTGTCAATTAATAAAACAAATATTGGTTTAATGATTAAGGGATTGCAGACCACATATAATAAGCGCATCCATTAATAAACTCCTCGACCAGAGTATGGCATTGAGTATAGGATTCCAGAAAGGATTCTCTCGTCTTATTTGTCATCTGCTTCTTGAATACGAGACATATCTCCTGATTATTATTGACATGAAATATAAAAACAATAATCAAACAATCGTTCAAATGTTCACTGATTATAAAACTTACAGCGAGTGAAGTTTTTGCGTTTTTATTCATTAGTATAAAGCAATCCAAACAAGAACTCTGACTAAAGACCTATAGTTTGAAGCATTTAATAGTTTTTAGAAACAATGAGATAATGTGTTAAACACATGAAATAATTACTAATTTTAAGGATTTCATGTCAGACGACGAAAAATTTCTATAATTCATTCCGATTTTATGGACGAGTGTTTTGGCCAAAGACTGATACCATGATAAGTGCAGACAAGTGAATGGTACCAAACGGGGGTCGTATTGACTCAATGACATGGTGTCCACTAAACTCAAGAGTTCGTCAAACTCAGTGATAGTTAAGTGCGTGTCATCTGATTCGCTATTATTTGTCTTTCGAGGCAAAAGACATGTCCAGAGATGCTCTCGACGGCAGTCAATGGCCGCGGTCTTGTCTTCTTCGGTCTCGAGTTCTTCGGTCTCCACCTCTTCGGTCTCGACTTCTTCGATCTCTACATCTTCGGTCAGTTGTGTCTGAGGGTTGTTAGCCTTGTCCTGAAGGATCTGTAAGATCATTGTCTTATGAGTGCTAAAGTATCCCAAATAAGTGGTCTCGTCGTCACAAATGCCGGTTGAAGTGGACAACAATGGTATGGATTGTAAAGACTTGTAAACCGATTGTGTAAAACAATTCCAGTAAATGGTTTGAAGGCTTAAACAAAATTGTTTGAGAGAACTCTTGGAATGAGTCTCTATTTCTGTGTCATTAGCTTTCAATGGACTGAAAGGATAGTTAGAAAACTCGGGTTTTTGTGAATTATATGAGTTATCAAAATATAAGTCTTTCCAACGCTTTCCTTCCGACAAATAAACCAATTGTTCGCTTAAATCATTGAAAGAAGTCTTATAAATAAAAACTCCTAAACTTAGAGAACCAAAGACAGAGTCATTAGAGGTTTGGTTTTCATCTATAATGTGAACTGCATTTAAACATTTAATTGATTGCATTTCATTGCCTAATATCAACAGTTTTAGGTCACTAAAAGTGGCCGGAAGTATAGTAATGAGTATATTATTGGCATTCAATTTCTTGCAAAAACATCTAAATTTAATCCAAATGTCTGTCATTTGACTTCTGAAGAGACAGATATTGAAATCATTTCTTTCATTCATTTGATTTACAAAAGAATTGCAATCTTTTTGACTCAGTTTTATCTCTTTGTCGTGAATTGCATTGATTTTAGAGATCAAAAGCTCGAAGAAAAGCTCATTTGAAACGTCGGAAAAGTTGACGGAATGAGTGTCTTCTGTGTTACCACTTCTCAACTCTTGGAATAGAGTGGAGAAGAGGACGACTGCCTGCTGTGATTTCGACAGTAATCCCATGATATCATAGCAATACTTATTTGTTTTAATGCGCTCTGATTTAGGAATGGGTGGCATAATGAGTGGGATATCGGGGGTGGAAGTGCCCAATAGTTTGCTTGTTGAGTGTTTCAGATTATGTTGAGGCGATTCCGTGTTAGAGACGGGGATGTCATCGATTGGTGTCTCGATGGCATCGTTTTGGCACAAAATGAGCGTTTGTTCAAACGTTAAGAGGCATGAAATGGCTTCCAAATCAATGGCATAGAACTATACAACAAAATATTATATTAAGGAAACAGTTTTATGTAACCTGCAGTTTAGGTTAAATCTTGAAATTCAAAGCGTTTATCAAATATGCAAAACTTTGGATATTAGATAAGGAAATCTCAAGAATTTCATATAATATTGAGTTTAATATCTAATATCTAATTGACATTTTACTTAAGAGTTGTTCCAATAATTTTTAAACCGTTTGTTTAGTGAATCTTTTGATTGCTTATCAAAAAACCACTTTTCTTTTGAATACTACTCACCGACTGTGAGATCTCCTTATAGTCTAATCCCTCGAGAAATTTGTTACGATTACTGCAATCAAACGAAATTCCATTCTGTGGCTCAACCCAACACTCGGTTATGAGTTGTAGTTCTCCGTCGTCTTCAGTTAATTCCGACTCTTCGTCGTCTGATAAGCTATTCATTCATTTTCACAATCAATTACTTAATGAGTAAACAATCAAATAATCAAAGTATGAGAAATACCTCTCTTTAGATGCAGTGATGGTATGCGAAGGAAATATAATGTATTGAACGACACATGAGAAGTGACAGTCGTTGTGGTC